ATCCTCCGGCTAATATGCTAATGCTCTTTCGAAATGGCACATAAGTCGTCTGTTGCAAATTATTTATTACTAAATTTATGGAGCTTTACAAAAATGCGAAGGTCGAAAGGTAAAATAGAAACGATTTAAAATGTTTAAAAAGATTTTTTTATCGATGGAAATTGTAAATTATCTGGTATAAATTAGTTAATATTAAAAGTACTAGTTCATTAATTAGTGTGCATAGATAACGTACATACATACATGCGTAAAAGCCCTTTAACGAAGACGTTTTGTTTTGATGTAGCCGCTGGTGTTAATTTTTTGTGTTGGATTTGCGACGGCTTTTCCAGCGATTTCCATCAGTCGGGAGGAACTTGCGCGGTTTGTTCAAAATCCAGCAACAGCTTACATATTAACGTACAACAGAAACGATGATCCTTCGAGAGGTTACGAATATGAGTAAGTATTACATTATTTCCAAATTGATACATATCCTATTCAGGAATTTGTAACAGGGTAAGCCGAAAATCCGTTGCTTTTGAAATTATTTCATTAACGATAAAAAACAAATGCCTACAAAAACAAAGACTCGCCAAAGTTCAAAGTTATGGAACATTATTCTACTGCCATTTTTAAATTACGAGAAAATAAGATTTTTTAAATGAAATTATAATTAAACTACTAAATTTACATAATTTGACATACGAACACTCTAGGAGTCCTGAAATTAGTGAAAGAAATATTTCATTGAAATCTGTAGAAATGGGCAAAAAACTATTTAAGTACTACTCTTAAAATATACAGTTTCTATTACTATTTATAGAATAAAATTTAAAATATATACTAACTTTCACACTGCTGGAAAGAACATAATTCTACATTAACACAGCTCTGCTTATAACATTATTAAAATGAAGCTTAATATTGGACTATAGAAAGTAGGTTACAAATGTATAAGTTGAGCTTTCTGGACTTTAATTTACTATTTTTAACTAACATGATTACTTACCAATTCACTGTCATAAATCTTTCCTTTGCTAGCAACGCATTGTTTCTGTTGTTAATAGGGAAACGCACTTTCCTTTGGGATTTAAGGTGCTGCTACTTTGTGGAATAAGAGGACTGATATAACCAATGCTCTTAACATGGCATCCAGAGGGTTTATTATGTTCCTGCAAAATGAATTCTAATGAAACAGTATTCAGGTACAATTACTTCAGTCTCTCTAGTAATAGTGCATAATACAATGTTAAAGTAATGCTGAACCCTTTTGTTTGTTTCTGTCGTAGTTGTTCATAACACTCGAATTGAATTTTATTTTGAATTTATTTTAAATTAACCATCTCTTAATGACTGACAACTGACATTAACTAACTGACATTCATAGATTCAACTCTATCTATAGATCTTACCTAACCATAGACAAGACATCATACTACCTCTCCATAGAACAGAGATAGTAATAGACCACAGAGTACAGCAGCGGTAAATTTAAATTCAGACACTACAATGTATTATATATATTATGGCATATCTGCTCACCTTATTAACAGGATTGCCTTAGATGAACAGCAAGAACACCACGGTAGACAAGTTGTCCTCAAAAAGAACTTCGACATTCTCTCCCCCTCTCTTTTATCGTCAATCTGTAGAAAAGAAGAAAAACGAATTAACCACATACTAGAGGCATTGATAATTAATTTTTTTAATTAACTACCCACTATAAATAACTTCAAGTATAAAGTGAAATATTCACCTATGTCAATCGTTCGTAAATGTTTGTGACGAATCATTTTGTATGTGTTCAATTAATACAATAACTGTTAATTATATAAATGCTCAAGAACATCGAAATACAAAATAACTTGGGGTTTCTAAGTGTTTGTTTAGTCAAATTTCACAGTAACTCAATTGATTCATTTTATTTTTATTTTCCTGTAATTATTAATTAACGAATTAGTTACAAACAAAATCATTTGTTACAAGCTTCACCAAAAAGTCTCAAAAGATTGGCATAGATGTAAATTTAGGAATTTGACATTGTTCTGTGTTGACTAAGTATACACAGGCAAAAAAATATCTAATTCAATATTAATTATTATTTGTCTGCGTATAATTAGCCAATATAAAACATAAAGTCAAATTTTTAAACATCCAGCTATACCTAGCACTTGTGAATATTTGTGACCAATTAGTTAATCGGTAATTAATTTATTAATTAAGAGAATTTATCATCAGCTAGCATTCTTTAAAAATTAATTTTAAAATAGACAATCGATCGAAAATCGTTTGTGAATTGTGTATACGGAGGAAAATATATGTGAATACTCATTATTTTCAATGCCCTCTAATGTAACCATAAGTAATGATATAATGAAAATGATAACATTTTCACTATAAAATTACTTATAATTACACTGAATAGTTAATAAAAACTACAGCAAAAGGGATATAGGAATCTTAAAAAAATGAGAATGATATAACTTTTGCTTTTTCTTCCTACTGGAAAAATTAAAAATTTACTTACTCTTGATATACNTATAAATGCTCAAGAACATCGAAATACAAAATACCTTGGGGTTTCTAAGTGTTTGTTTAGTCAAATTTCACAGTAACTCAATTGATTCATTTTATTTTTATTTTCCTGTAATTATTAATTAACGAATTAGTTACAAACAAAATCATTTGTTACAAGCTTCACCAAAAAGTCTCAAAAGATTGGCATAGATGTAAATTTAGGAATTTGACTTTGTTCTGTGTTGACTAAGTATACACAGGCAAAAAAATATCTAATTCAATATTAATTATTATTTGTCTGCGTATAATTAGCCAATATAAAACATAAAGTCAAATTTTTAAACATCCAGCTATACCTAGCACTTGTGAATATTTGTGACCAATTAGTTAATCGGTAATTAATTTATTAATTAAGAGAATTTATCATCAGCTAGCATTCTTTAAAAATTAATTTTAAAATAGACAATCGATCGAAAATCGTTTGTGAATTGTGTATACGGAGGAAAATATATGTGAATACTCATTATTTTCAATGCCCTCTAATGTAACCATAAGTAATGATATAATGAAAATGATAACATTTTCACTATAAAATTACTTCACTATAAAATTACTTATGATTACACTGAATAGTTAATAAAAACTACAGCAAAAGGGATATAGGAATCTTAAAAAAATGAGAATGATATAACTTTTGCTTTTTCTTCCTACTGGAAAAATTAAAAATTTACTTACTCTTGATATACTGGTGTTCAGTGGACAAGAAATTACAAACTTCCTTCTAGTGTGAAACAGTGAATACTACAATGAAGGACCAACCTCGTATGATGTGTAATATTCCTGTGGAATTAAACAGTATTAAAATAAAATAAATTTAGATTCCATGGTAAAGAACTTACTCTTTACAACTTTTTAAAATTAACAGAGGGACAAATTTGCAATTTAAGTAATATGTAACCATCCACCTAAACTGACTTCCAATTAATCTATTCTTATTAGTAATTGAATCTACTTTTACTTGAAATGCATACTAAGAAATTAAAAAAAAAAAATTAAAGAACTTAATTTTTATACTGGCTCAAATCACCTTATATTCTTTTTTTTTGGCACCCCTATCTAAATAGGGTGCTCCCTTTATTTTGGATAATACAAACTAGCTTGTATTAAAATAGGGAACAAGTTTAGTTTAAACACTTTTTGATTAAACTTTCAGAGAAAGTTTTGTTTGAAAAATGTTTCAATTAAACTAACAGTGACGGCCAAAATGAGCATATAACAATCTTAATATGCAGCAACATCATCTTGAAATCACTTTTCGATTTTGAACCATAACAAATTTCCTCAAATTAATGAGGGTGACAACAGCAACAAAAATATTTTTCTCATTAATTTGAGGAAATTTGTAGTGGTTCAAAATCGAAAAGTGATTTCAAGTTGATGTTGCATATTAACATTGACCACTATTAGTAATTAATAAAACAATGCCTTTTAATTACATTATAAGCCTCATCAGTTTTACCTACTGCAAAATTTTCTTCTACTTTCTTACACCTCCTATCAATTCACTGTTCGTTAGCTGCCCTACACTTCCTAATTATCGGCACCAATTTGGATATTACAAACTCTCATGCTCCAAATTTTATTCGGTTCGGTTAGTAATTTATTGAGACGCAGTGATGAGATCAAATAAGATTGAAACGACCGTATCAATATTGTTTAGGTATATATGAATGTAAACTGTGTCGTCGTTGAAGTACCTTAATAAAGCCTTATCTAACGGTTAAAATACTTCAGTAGCAGTAAATACACACTAGATGGCGATGCGCAGCCTGTATTTGCTAATATACATAGATTATTATTTTAGGCGTTGAGTTTCTTTTTTTTTTTTCAATAAAGTTGATGAAATAAAGAAACGTAACGGTCAATAGGGCCAATAAATGAAACCAATGTGACTTCACTTTTCACCAGATGTTACGCAAAAGTGATTTGGCTTGCTCTCCGCATAAATGGTAACCCTGAACGGGAAGAAATCGTTGAGAAAAAGGATTTCAATCATACATATTGCTTCAACAAGAAATTCTCTACACTTTTCTGAGAACGAAAGGGCACTTATCAGGCGCAGCAGATGGCAACAGCTGCGAATTCTCATACACTCCTATGTGGGAAAATTGTCCATTGTTTATTTTCCCTTTTCCACGCTTCCAGTAAAGGATGGTTTCCCATTTGTTTCGTCTATTTCCGTAAGGAAATTGCGCGTATGTACTTCCTACACCTAAACCTTGCGAAGTTGTTCTTTAAAGAGTGCGATTTGTTTTACGAACGAGCAGAAAATGCGTTGTCAACTTAAGCTGATGTGTTGAAAATGAATAAA